TATATATATATATATATATATATATATATATATATATATATATATATAAGAGAGGGAGAGAAGGATCGGGTATAACCCGATCGGACTAGGGCTCAGGGCGGCGGGATCACGCACGGAGGGAATCGGCGCTGGAGTCGGCCGGCGGCGGCGGCGGGTTCGGCGTCGGCTCAGGCAGGTCGGCGGCGGGTTCGAGAGATACAGAGACGAAGCAAGCGGAGGTAGCAGACCGATCGTCGGTCCTTGGTCGGCTTTGGACGTGGGTCGTCGGAGCAGGAAGAGGTAAGCCGACTTGGTTGGAATCGGCAGACTTCTTACGGACGGGAGATCAAGAGGTAAGTTCTGAAAACTTCGTTCTTCTCTTGGTGCGTATCTGTGTGTGAGTGTGCGTATTGGAACCGAATGAGAGGAAGATTTCATTTTTTATTTTGTGAGTATGTCGGTGAAAGAAGTCGGTGGGCGAATCGTCGTATCGTTTGATCGGGTATGTCGGTGGGGGAGTCGGTGGTATGCAGTTACAGTCAACAGGAGCTTATCTTGATTTTGAGATCTTTGACTTGATCTCATAGATGAGAGCAGCATCTTTAATTTTTGGGTAAGTCTGTTTGCAGCTTCCCAAACATCTTTTATGATTGTTAGGAACATGTGTAATCTTTTGATTTTGGGCATCATGGTATTCCATTATCATGATATGATCATGGAATCTGCTTCATCCAAAAATACAAACTGAGTTATTTGACTCCGCCTAAGGATCTACCATATATGATGGATTTTTTTTCATTTCTATTCAAAAAGGTCTTCACAATCTAGGGCCACTTAAGATAGTTTCATTCATTCAAATAATACGAGATTTGTAGCATCTAGAGCTCTCCTTTAGTTTGATTTTCGACTTTTTGACGGGATGTCAAAGAAATCAAACATGATGAGGAGAAGACCGAAATAGAGGAAGAATAAAGATTGGAAAGAGGGGCCTAATATTGCTTTGATAACATGTAAAAAACGAAGTGGTTAAAGCTTGGGTTGTTTATTCCTCAAATGAGTATTTATATACTGCCTTAAACAAAAAAAAAAAGTATTTATATACAAAATTAGCTAAAGAATAAAGGAAAATAACTAATTACAATTATTCAAAAAATAACAATTTTTAATTTTAGATGTTGTCCGCCCCTTAATAGGCCTGCCGATTGATACCAAGGGAGCAATCCTAGGCTATCTCATTCCTTCCATGAATAAAGATCCATGGGAGATGTGTTTCCCTATTTGGACAATAGATCTCCGGCCTCCTTTTTCCTTTTCTAGCAATCCAAGGTCTTACTAGGCCTGTCGACCTTTCAAGTTTCAACAACTATCGATATAAGCATTAGGATAATCGCTATTTTCTGAAGATTCAATAAGAGCTGTGCGACTTGCAGGTCATAAAACACCATGGAAAGTATAGTTTAGAAAGAAGTATTAGCTTTCATGCACCTGGCAAAATACTGTAAATGGTTCCCGCAATGGCCCATCACATGACAGCTCACTTGTGCTTCCATCAATAAATGTCCCATCAGCAAAGATCACCTGTTCAATAGCACAAAGATACATAAGCCGCGCAAACTCTAGATGCAACTTGAAGTAGCAAATTTAAGGGCACCCTCAGATAAAACATGATACAAAATAACAAGATCAAGTTCTGTTTTTTATTCATCTTTCAAACATCGAACAGTTTCCCCTTTTATTGTTTAAGCATAAGATCCGCTGAAAAAATGAAAATGGAACCTCTGAGGCATATCCAGGTGTACATCCAGCAGTTGGTTTGATGAAAGATCCTATATGACTACTTCTCTGAACAGCCTCACAGAAAGCTATAAGACGCTCACGACACCCTAGCTGTACAGCCTGAAAAGTGAACATAAACAGAAAAAAGCAATTTTCTTCACACATTATGAAAATTTGACAGATCAAGAATTTCATGAAAATAAAATGCCAAAAGCCATCATAAGTGGCCATTTCAATTCCAAAATATCACAGTGCTCCAATTTAATCCAATTAAAAATTGATCCCAAATGATCCACTATTAAATTCAACGCTTCATTTGCAGAAAGTGAGAAGTTGTGTGCTATAGAATAAAAGAAGGATATTTTAGTAAAATTTATTATTTATAATTATTTTTTAATTATCTAAAAACTTACCTACTGGTTGATGAAGCAGAGTGGGTGTGGCCGTTCAAAGACCACCCACATGCATGAGTGGATGTCTTAGAGGACCTCGTTGAGCATGGCTGGCCAATGAAGAAGCTCAACGAGCATGGCATTGAGTGCGGCCGACCATTGCAAAGATGGTTAACAAAGGAAGCGACAACAGTGATAGTTCAACGAGGCTGACCACTAGTATGAGTTTTTTTAACAACTTTTTTTTATTCAATCAGAGAAGGACAAAGAATTTGACCAATATTTGTGTAGCTAAACTTCATTTTTGAGGAATATGGGGGAGAATTCAGAAGGGCATTGATAGGAAGAAATGGCATCGACCATCAATATGGACTTAGGAGGATGAGTTTGCTTATTAATTTTTTTCTTCAAATTATGTTGTAAGTATAATATTTGTATGCATTGATTTTATGATAAAACATATGAAAATAGTAATGAGTGAGAATAAAAAAAATGGACTGTATAAAGTAGTACCGAATAGCTTAAGGATTCAAACTCCATAGCTATTTAGTAATTTAACTGAGACGATTGTTATTGAAATGGGAAATTATTATAATAAGGATAAAGTGGTAGATAAGAGAACTAATTTTGATGATGATGATGATGACGACGACGATGACAATTATAAGTACAATATATCAGATGATTGTGAGAAATTTCTAGACAATGATTATAAGATTTGCAAGGAGGATGAGTTATTTGAAAGCAATGTGGATCATTTTGCTAAATTTATAGGTACTACAGATTAGGGCAACGAGAAGATTGAGGTATACAATGAAAGCTCAAATTAAATGTTGAAAAAGAATTTGTGAAATTGATTGCTTGAATTCTTAAATTCCAGTGATGGAACTAATAGTCTAATATTTAAATAGTGAAGATGGTGACACCATAAAGTGGCCACATCTCAATCCCAAAATAGAGTTTAAGAGTCCCAATATTGAAGTAGGAATGTTATTCAACCGCAATGAAGAATATAAATAAGTTATGTAGAACTGATCAATTACAAGAGAAAAATAATTAAGTATTCAAAAAAAAGGCAAAAGGTGTAGGTTTATTTAAAGGAGGTCTAATTATCCATTTCTCTTATTCATTTCAAAGTATGAGGGAAGTCATTCATGACATGAAGTCATTACAAGAGCACATGTGTACATAGAATTATCATAACAAGACTTTGACCTCCACAATTATAGCCAAAAAAATTACAAATAAAATTAGGACTAATCCACAAAGCAAGTCTAAATTTTTTAGAAAAGAAGTAAATGATGAGTTGAAGTTGCATGTTTCAAAGTCAAAAGCTAGGAAGGTTACAAGTAAGGCTCGCAAATTGGTGCACATGAAGAAGGAAAAAAAGTTCAAGATATGGAATTATTGCTTCAAAATTGTAAGGCTAAATATGGGCTCAACCTTATTATGTACAAAAAACAAGGGATACAAATTTGGAAGGCCGAAAGACATTTGTTATAATGTACGTTTAGTTAGAAGCCTGCAAAAACAGCTTCCAAGCAGGTTGTAGGACAATAGTTGCGGTTGACAAATGCTTCTCGAAGGAGCCACAAAGCGGCCAGCTATTAACCGTGGCTTGTTCAAAACTTCAAATGATAAAAATAACATATTTCTAGTAACACGACTAATAGTTAAAAGTGAGAAGAAAAGTGGTTGGGAATTGGGAGTGGTTCTTAGAGTTGTTGGCCAGATATTTGAATATTTTTTAGAACCAGTAGAGGCTCATATTCATTTCAAATAAACAAAAAGGTTTGATTCTGCATTTGAAATTGTTCTGCCCAGTATTACAAATAAATTTTGTGCGCGAAAAGTATGCCAAAATTTAAGTTTCGAGTATAGGGTTTAGGGTGACACGTTACTCAATAACATGTGAATATTTCAACTCTTTCATCCTCGACGTAAGAGAGTTACCTATTATCTCTGTGTTTGAGAGCATCAGAAATTTGATGATAAAGGAGAGATCAATGAGGTGGAATACTAAGTTATTTCCAAGGACTCATGAAGTACTTGAAAAAAATTTATATGAAGCAGAGAATTATATTAGTGTGACCAAATTACATAAATTTTATGTTATGCTGCCGCAAAAGATGGAAATTAATTGGCTTGCCTAGCCATCATGTGTGTGCTGCAATCAGCATGGGTGAGCTTGACCACAAGAACTTTGTCCATAGCTACTACTTGATGGATACATATAGAACAACTTAAGAACACAATATTATGTCAGTCAATGGTCCTGATGAATGGCTTAAAAGTAACACAGCACTTTCATAGATTGAATTGGTTTTGTTCATCGTTTAGTTTAGTTTGAACTAGGATTTTTGTGAACTGAAAATGAATAATAAATGATCCTTATATATCTCATTTCAAAACTTACGCAAGCTGGGGCATTATTACTAAAAAGTAAGTCCAACTAATTATATTCCAATAGAGGTATAGAAATGCCTAGGAGATGAAAGAATTTCTTTGCTTACTGAACATTTTAATATTATTTTGAAGACTAAAAAGATGTCAGATGCGCGGAAACTAAGTGTGTTGATTCCTATTTATAAGAATGAAGGTGATACACAAGATTATGCGAATTATAGAAGAATTAAGTTAATGTGCCATACTTTAAAACTATGGAAGAGTTACGGAGCATAGGTTACAATGTGATACTAATGTTTCTCAAAATCGATTTGGATTCATGTCGGGTAGGTCTACTATGAAAGCTACATATTTATTGAGAGGTTTGATGGAGAAGTATAGAGAGAATAAGGAGGGCCGGTATACATATGATATTTATTGATTTAGAGAAAGCATATGATAAAGTTTCAAGAGAAATGCTATGGAGATGTCTAGAAAAAAAGGGGTTAATAATGACTTATATTCAAGTCATTAAGGATATGTATGCAAGAGCTATTGTGTTCAAACACAAGGTGGTTTGACCAAGTATTTTACTATTTAAGTTGGATTACATCAAGGATTAGCCTTAAGCCCATATCCTTTTACTTTAGTCGTGGAGGTTCTTATTAGACATTTGCCAAAGGATGTATCCTCGTGTATGCCTTTTGGGCGATGAAATTCTTTTTGTTGATAAGACTAGAGAGGGTGCTGAAAGAAAACTTAAATTATGGAGGTAACCTTAGAGTCTAAAGGTTTTCATTTGAGTAGATCTAAAACCGAATACATGGAGTGTAATTTTATTAGTAATAGATATAGTGGAGGAATTGTGACTTTGGACGATCAAAGTCATTAATAAGAGTACACATTTTAGATATCTTGGGCCTATTATTCAGAGTGATGGTGAAATAGATGAGGATATTCTTAGTAGAATTCAAGTTGAATGGTTGAACTGGAGGAATGCATTGTACTTGTTGTGTGATAGAAAAGTACCCTCAAACTTAAGGGAAAATTCTATAAGATGGTGGTGAGACTTGCAATTCTTTATGGCACAGAATGTTTGTCATTAAAAGAGAAGCATAATATTAAGCTAAGTGTTGTAGAGTTGAGGATGCTCAGGTGGATGAGCGGCTTTACTCTTAGAGATATAATACAAAATAAGCATATACGTGAAAAGATTGTAGTAGCTCGAATGGCAGATAAGGTTAGAGAGAGTCACCCTAGATGGTTTAGTCACATAAAATGGCGGCCATCCGATGACCTGGTTAGGAGAGTAGATGTATTAGATTTGGCTTATGTTAAGTGTGGGTCTCCGAATGGATGTTGCTCGCGGAGATAAAATATAATGAGTACGGTCGCACTATCCTGTGGAACAGAACGATCACAGGCCTTTACACTCTTTGCAAGCAGACGACGAACCAATAGAAGAGTAGATAGAATAATACATATGATTATCCATGAAGAATAGCTACTACACATCTTGATAGATAATAATATATATGACTAGATAATCACGAGATTTTTCCCATGGGATACATCAGCTCGAGTGGAATTTATTTAACGTGGATATCAGTTTCCTATGGGGTAGAAGGGGTCGGTCCAAGGTTGGAGCCGCGGTAAGTTGGGGTGGTCGCGACTAGGGCTCTGACAAGAGAGATTGCGAGGTCTTTGCGCGAGCAACAAGGGAGCTTCCATCTAGATTGGTTCGAATCAGAGAGATCAGAGGAGAATGGGAGTTTTGATTTTCCTGGGCTGGCTCAACAAGAGAGATGGGAAGAACTTAAGTGATGTGCCAATGAGCCCCCTTGCCAGAGCCAACGTTCATATCTTCCATATAAGCCCAAAGAGCAAAGCCTCGTTTGACCACATTACAGAAATTTGTTGCGGTCGTAGGATTCTCGGCAGAGACAGACCAAGAAAAATTTTGACGTGGTCGGAGCCATTGGATCGAATTCCAGATTTGTAAGCTGATTCAATTCGTTTAGAAAGCCATTTGGATTTTAATTGGGATTAAATTGAACCAATTGGGTTAAAACTAAACTCGAATCGAGCCCCATTCGAGTTGATTCGAGTCAATTTGGTCTCGATTTGACCCGATCGAGCCAATTCAACGAAATTGGATTTGAATCAAACCCAATTGGAATCAATTTGCGCTGATTTGGGTTCAATTCGACTCGATTACATTAATTTAATGAAAATAAACCCGCGTCGACGATGATTTGGCTCAAATTAGATTCGATGGGGTCCAATTGAATCAATTGAGCATGAACGAGCCCGCTCATGGGGAAAACACGCAAAAATTGATGTCAATATTAAGAAAGGTAGAGGTAGACCTAAAAAGACTTGCTTAGAAAATATTATAAATTAACTTTCTTTATTAGAGTTTAATGAGAATTTGACTCTTAATAAGATAATGGAGAAAAGGATTCATGTAATTGACCCCACATAGTGGCATAAAGTCTTAATATTGTTCTTCTTGTTGTTGTTGTTATAGTAAGTCCAACTAATGTAAATTCAATCATAGATGGGCAAACATTCTTATCAGCCATTTTTTCCCACACTAAATTAGCCTCCACTTGTAAGTTGAAATTTTCCACTTAAAGTAATCTGTATTAACTAGTGAAACTAATCTCCTTTAATGTTTGACCATCTTACACTTGAATATTTATTTATTTTGATTATTTTTTATAAGTTCTACGCTATATATAAAAATAACTACTAAATATTGTCTAGTTAAGTTTTAAACGAGAATTTAACTATTAATGGGACACAATGGAGAAAAAAGATTCATGTAGCCGACCCCATGTAGTGGGACAAAGGCTTGATGTTGTTGTTGTAGTTGTGGGGAATAACTGGATTTAATAGATATGACAATTGAATAAGTTTAATATTATTGTTTCAAGTAGGCTTTCACTTTCATTAAATTAGATTCTATTGCAAAATCAAATATACGTTCTCCATCAAAATTTAATCTCCCTTGCACCTACCAAAGTATTCACAGAAACTATCTTACTACAGTCTACAGATCATTACAATTACAACCAACAATTACCTTTTTTCCTATGGAGAAAATAGAATTAAATATATAACAAAATATAAATGAGAAAACAAAACAATATAAGAAATGTGACTTCACACTAGCACCATCTAAATACTCTCGCATTAATTTTTTGGCGTTAACTTTAATTGCATTTCACATGAATTTCAACCTAGGGACCAATTGGAATCAATTTTCAATAATAGATGGACTAAATTAAAATACTGTGATAATTTGGGACTAAATTGGCCACTTAGTAATAGTCGAGAGATTATTAATTATTTTAGTCTTTTTCTCAATAGATATTACTGGTACACTGAGTGGCTTTTCTTATCATGCTGGCAACAATCTGCACTGCAAATCATGCACAAACATTACAGCTTTTTTATTTACGACAGAATTTTAATGCAACTTCATGCACAAACACTTCAATTATGACAATACATATAGAAACAAGCTATGGTCACATTTTACAAGCATTGAAAAGCAGATTTAAATTACTTGAAATGCCCCTAGAAACTTAAAACACAAAAGAATAGCACTGTGATCATTGATTGAGATGAATCATCAATTTATTCTCCAACATCAATATTGACATACAATCTCATATTTTCATAACTATTCTATCAGAAAAGAACCTGAACAGTATCATGGCGAGGATGCCTTGGGAGTGGTTGGACTTTTAATCCTTTTGACGCCATTACTTCAGCGATGAGTAAACCTCCCTGCTACATGAAATGAAAGTTATGCAACCCACGAAGGTGATTTTGTTAATGCATACGCACCTTTATAGCTTCTCCAACCATTTGAGGTGAGAGGAATAACCCCTGGAAAAGCAACCTCATTACATCACCAGGAGTTGACCCACAATCAACCCCGAGACCAGGTGCCGAAAGGCGGGCTGCCGCCATCTCAACTAAGGATTTCTTCCCGGCAACATATCCACCACAAGGTGCAATTGTCCCACCTGGATTCTTTATCAAACTTCCAGCAATCAAATCCGCGCCCTGCAAAGGGAATAAGGTGGCATCATAGAACTGACACACTACACGGCTGCAGAATATTTCAGTGCATGGTGCATACCACCATGGGTGGCTCGTATGCTTCTACAAATTCCCCATAGCAGTTATCCACAATGACCATGCAGTCTGGATTTTGCATCTGCAGAAGAAAAAATGTGGTCAAATGTATGATTAAGGTTTCGTTTAGGACGGCTTTTTTACTGCTTCTTAAAGCAGCTTTTAAGTACAAAATTTTTAATCTTTTGTACTAAAAAGTTACTTTAAGAAGCAGTAAGAAAGCCGTACCAAACAAAGCCTAAGTTGCAAAGATGTAGCCAAAACTAATTAAAAAAGAGCAACTATTAGTGTTACCTTGATTATTTCTATTGCTCTCTGAATCTCTAGTATGCTCAAGCTTTTACGCCATGCATATCCGCATGACCTTTGAATGAAGGAACACTTCGTTTGGGGCGTTACAGCATTAGCAAGAGCATCCCAGTTTAGGCCTCCAACTATTGAAAGCTAAAACCAGAGCACATCGAAGTCCTCCATCAATACATCAAAAGAAGGAAAAAAATAAAGAATAAAAAGAGGAAACTTAATAGGAGAAAGCAGTTTGAAGGAAAGAAAGTACAGGAACTTCCCGATAAGAAACTCCAAAATCCTTTAAGGATCCAATTCTAGGAGAGTTTCTAATTCCAATGACTTCCTCTAATGTGTCATAAGGAGCTCCAGCAACTGCTAAAAGCTGGCAAGTTTTATCAGCAAAAAGCATTTCATAGAACTGAGAACAAAATGTTTAATTGACACTCCAAAATCAGAATCATGTAAAACTGAAGAGAACCAAATTTACCTCATCCCCAGGCCTCAGAATAGCAAATAAAGCACAAGTGATGGCATGTGTTCCCGAAAAAAACTGGCGAATAAAAAAAGCAAATAGAAAGATTAATTGGGTTGAGTGCATAAGCCCGGCTACCCAAAAAGAGTTGAATTATAACCTATACCTGTGAACGCACTATTGCTGCTTCTGCTCCAAACACTTCAGCAAAAATATTATCCAATGCCTCGCGCCCCCCACCTTCATCATGCCCATAACCTGTGCTTCCACCAAAATGCTAATAGAGAAGATGGCATTTAATATTAATTGGCATGTGGGTTTCTTGAGAAGCAGAGAAAAACAAAAAAAGGGAATAAATTTTCAACAGTAACCAGGAAATTAAATATCTTATTTTTGAGCGATGATGAAAGAAAACAATATGAATATATATATATATATATATATATGATGTTGAGATTATCAATCATGGAATGATTGTTCATCTCAGCAAATTGTGTGCTCTGATTATATCAACCGCAAGATGATTATCCACCCATCAATTCATTTATACTCGTGCTTCTTTTTTTATTACTATTAAATATTAATTATGTATTAACACTATCGTTGTCAAATACCAAGTGTATGAGAAAACTAGAAATTGTGTTATGTAGTTGACAGCCAATATAAATTGTCGAACAATCAAGTTCATGCAGTCGACCCCACATAATAGGATAAAGGCTTGATGTTGTTGTTGTATTAATTTATTCTTTATTTTAGGGCCTATAATTTATTGCTTAACACCTATAAATATGTACCTAATTTTTTTATAGTTTGGAGCAAAAAATTATATTAAACAATTCTCTCATATTATCACTTGTTTATGTGGTATCAGAGCCAAATAAGATTCTCAAACCCCAAAGTCTAGAACCCAATTTCCCAAAATCCCACATCTCAATCCAAAAATATTGAAACCCCTAGAAATTAACTCGTGATCCTAACAATCTTCCAGTTGTTGCACATCATAGGAACCTATATCCAACCCTCCACCCGTTGTTACTCCCGATCCCATTGTGGCTCTTGATCCCATCATGCCTTTGCCTTCCAATTATTGGATGTCCAATTGTTGCACATATCATCAATCTCATCACGATCTAACCTCCAATCTCCAATCTCCTCCATAACTCAAACTGTCGTTCCCAGCAGCCAAACCTTATATGTCCGTTAGCACCCTAGCCAAACCTTATATGTCCGTTAGCACAGGGTACGACAAGTAAAAAGATCTATTTTATGACTTAAAAAAATAAAAGAAAAGGAAAAAATAAGAAAACAAAATGAAAAAAAAAAAAGTTGACAACAATAAATCCATTGGAATCAAACCTGTTCCAGTTCTTATTCAAGTTGAGGTCCCTTTAAAACAGGCCTTCAACTGACTGAAACAAATTAAGATGCATGGTATCAATTGATGGAAATACATGTAGCTAAACAAGAAAAAATTTCCTACATCATAGGAAGCACCGCTCCAACTATTGTGTCATATAAAGAATATGAAAATTAGTATGTTTAAAATCAAAATGTGAAATGTTAGCTTCTGCTATCCATGTCTTCTAATATCATGAAGCGTTACCTTCATATACCCATTGCCTATGAAATTTAGAGTACTTTTTTCAAAACTTTTTATAATGGTAACGATGAGATGCATGTCCATTCGTTGCATCAAAAAGCCTTCTCAATCACACAAAGTACCAAATCTTTCGTAATATACTATGAGGAGCTAATATGAATCTTTCAGGAATTAGATCATAGTGATAAAGTGGCCATGAAAGATACTACTGATGTTACAGTATCAATAGTATATTAAGCGAACTCAAGTGCCCATATTTCTTACTGGATCAAATAAAATTTTCAGCCAACTTTGACGAGAAATTTTATGAGCCAATCTTAAGTCTAGAAAAGTGTTAATCCTTAGTCCATTATAAAGTCATACAATCAAAAGCTTCTGTTATGATTTCTTGCCATCGACCCAGTCAAACATCCCAAGAATGGCCCAAAGATACCAAATCGAAGAATTCTAATAGTTTAGATAAACCTCCACACAAATGCACTCATTGTAATCAAATAAAACCATAGAAGGTTGTTGCATTGAACTTATTGGATATCTAGATTTGTGGGACCCAACATGACATCAAAATTCTAAGCAGTCATCTACTGCTGCAGTTGCTAAAACAAAAGAAGACAATGCCCCACCTATGTCCCCAATATCAGCATTGGTCACCACTACAAATGCCAAATGTAAGGTTTTCACCACTTCTAAAACTATTTTGAATAGCGCATGTATAATTGATTCTGGTGCTACTTATCATATGAAATTTGATGTTATACAACTCTCAAACATTAAACTATCCTCCTACAATTGTGTCGTCATGGCAAACGGTAATACCATCCCGGCTATTGTAAAAGGGTCCTAGCATCTTTTTAAAACTTTAAATCTTGATTCAATATCAGTTATTCCCCCCTTATATTATAATATTTTATTAGCCTCTGAAATTACTGGTACTTTTTTTTATCAATATGTGTTTAAGACATTTATACTTGACAAATGATTAGTTATGATGTTAAGAGATGGTAGTTGTATTACTTGGACTTGGAATCCAAATTTTCTAGCAGATTACGACAAGCTTTAGCAGAAAAAAGCACCGGTTCACAAAAAAAAAACTTAACATATGGCTCTCATATCGATGTTTGGGACATGCCTCATTTGGTTATTTAAAACTTTTATTTTTTAGTTTATTTATGAACTTGAATATTTCTACATTCAAATGTGATGTATGTGAACTTGCAATAAGTCATTGTTCATTTCCTTTGACTTTGAATAAAAGTCTTATACCCTTTATGGTGATCAACTCTGATGTTTGAGGACCATCTCAGATTCCTATATTAGGAAGGCCACATTAGTTTGTTACCTTTTATAGATGATTAAACTTGAATGATCGGATTGTGTTTGGTGAAATCCAAATAAAAAGTTTACTATTTCATATATTTTATAAAACACCGTTAATACACAATAAAATACATGAATACAAGTATTAGGAAGTGATAATGGCAAAAATTATCATAGTTATGAATTTCAATAATTTTTTTACTCTTCTGGCTCAATCCATCAAACAAGTTATCTGAATATGCCTCAACAGAATACTGTGAACGAACACAAAACAGACATTTCTTAGAGGTTGTTCATGCTTCCTTCATCAAGGCTCACAAGCCCTTATCCTAATGGGTAGATGCTTTTCTCTCTGCCGCATATCTCATTAATCTAGTTTCATTTTATTTTCTCTACCTCAAAAAATCCTTCCAGTCAATTGCATAAGCAGTTGTTGCTCCAGCAATCCCAAACTTAACCACACATGTCTTCTGATGTGTTGCATATATTCATCTATAAAACACCAACATAGTCAGTTAATGTTTTGAGCCTTGAAATGCGTCTTTATTGGCTATAGTATTCATAAAAAATGATGCATATGCTATCACTCCCTACTAAACGTATTACGTATGTTTACACGATGGATGTTATCTTTCATGAAAAACTATACATTTCAAGTCTAAATTTTAGGGGGAGTATTTTAAGGAAAATCGGACTTTCATATACAATCTTGAGAATATAATGTGGAAATAACAAAACAAAATTTGGTAATTTGAATAATAGTTCAAAATTTTTGGAGTTAAAAGATGCAATCCTACACAACGACACAACATGTGGAGAGTTAGATGAGTTGGAATCTAGTAATCAAAATTTGAAACAAAATACGCACCCAAAGAGCCAAGAATCGTTTAAACTCGATCCCAAGTCTCTCCCAATTGATACATTGATTTTATAGTTAAATAAATCACTATATGGATTAAAATAATCCCCTATAGTTTGGTTTGGACGATTCATCAAATCTATGGCAATCTTTGATTATACAGCAACAATAACAAGCCTTTATCCCACTGTGGGGTCGGCTACACAAATCATTTTTCTCTATTGTGTCCTATTACGAGTCAAAATCTCATTTAAATATAATAAAAAAATGCTACTTTTAGTGCTTTCTAACCAAGTCTTTTTAGGTCTACCTCTACCTTCGTAAATAAAGTAATTCAAATCATAAGTTAATTTTAAAGAAAAAAGATGAAAGAATTGCAATATTTACAAAGCATTATGGTGGAAATTTCTTTTACAAGACAATAAGTTATTCTTAAAAGTAACCAATTCAACTATAATATGACATCATAGCGGCATATGATATAGCCCATAATACAATTCATCATGATTGCACATAGCACATTGAGATAGATAGATTCTTCATTAAAAAGACACTAAATGAGAAGGTTGTTGAACTACCAAAGACTTGATCAAAAGATCAATTAATATATATTCTTACTAAATGAGTATCAAATCGAGTACACTCAAAGTTCTTAACAAGTTAGGCATGGATAACATCATTGAAGCGGTCAAGCGGAGTGTTGAGATTATCAATTGCAGTATAATTTCCCATCTCAATAATTTGTGCTCTAATTATATTAACCACAAAATGATTATTCACCTTGATATTCCATCCATATTTGTGCTTCCTTTTATTATTACCATTAGCTATGTATTAATTTAGTCCATAAGTTTAGGGCTCATAATTTATGGTTTAACACCTATAAATATGAACCTTTTGTTATAGTTTGAGTAAGAAATAAAATCCAATATTTCTCTCTTATTATTATTATTATTATTATTATTATTATTATTATTATTATTATTATTATGTGTTAGAATTCATAAAATTTGAGAAGGGTAAAAATACCTTCTAATTATTATACAAAATTATCCCTATTTATAGATCTATACAAAATGTCTTAATAAAGAAATAAATAACTTCTAATTGATACATAATTGCCTCAATATAATCCTTCCTAATTCAGCTACCCAAATATAGAAGAATATTGGCGTGATCCAGGTGAGCCTCCCACGGATTCTCATCCTAACCGTGGGATCAAATGCTAAGGGATGACTGAGATTTTGACACTCCCCCTCAAGCTGGAGACCAGCTTGCAATTACTCGCTCAGAGGTAGAGCTGCATTGGTTATGGATAGGGTATCAACCACCAGAGAAAGCCGGCAATGAAGGCCGATGATGGAAAACTATCCTCAAAATTCCGACAATTAAGGCCGGTGGTGAAAATTTTGTATTCCTTAGGTTTCCAGCAATGAAGGCTGTACTGTGATATCGTAGCAATAAAGGCTGATTTGATCATGTCAGCAATAAAGGTTGATTTGATCATGTCAGCAATAAAGGATGATTTGATTAGCAATAAAGGCTGATTTGTTTATACCAGCAATAAAGGCTGATTTGATTATACCAGCAATAAAGGCTGATTTGATTATATCAGCAATAAAGGCTGATATCAGGTCTTAATCATGTCTCAAATCTGATTAAGACTTCTTGCTGTTGTCAGCCCATCTAAGATAATCGAGAGGGGTGTCTCTATGGATCCGAGCGGAATAGGAAAATCAGAAGGAGCTTTCGATCGAGTCGTCTGAGCAATGTATCTATATCCGCGTTGTCAGCTCTATCCGCATCGTGAGCTCCGTCAGCGACCTTGGCTTCGATCGCAAGGCTTCGTTGCTTCTGCACGCACAAGAGTTGGCTCGCAATTAGGCGGCTCCTTCCCATGAGGTCTTGATGTTTCCTTCCTTTGGCTCCGTCTCGCAGGAGGTTTGCTCGGCCTGTCCGTCCCGCAAGGCCCCGAAGCTTCCTTCCTTCGACTTCGTCACAGTTTGCTTGACCCGTCCAGTTTCATTCGGCTTCAGGCTTCAGGCTTCGGGCTTCTAGGTCCAGCGTTGCTTCTTCGGCTCCTTCATGGTTATGCTCCTTTGACGACTTTCCCTTTCTGTCGGATCGGAAGTTACGACGTTTGATTGGGATCGGTTGGGTATACACGGAGGCTCTACAAGAGCCGGGCAGACGAAGTTTTGCGGTCAAATCTTTCAGGCGGAACCAGGTTCCCGCGTGCGATTCTTCCGGTCTGCAGAAGATCTCCCGTACATGCGCAGGGGAAGCCGCTATTGTTGGCGGCGTTTGGCTTCGGCAAAGCTCCGCTCCAGCCTTTGTTGGCAAAGCTCCGTCTACGGCGTCGTCTTCGGCACGGTTTCTCCCGAGCGGCTTCTCTCTGAGAACGACCGGCTAGGGTGGTTGAGCCTCGGCGCAAGAAGGGCCGCTCGGCTCTCAACGGGAGTCTCGTTCGTGGCTGTTCGGCTTTCTACTTTCGACGACTTTGGCCTTCCTCTCTGATGGGAAGTTCCGATCGGTATTTCGGCTCCGTCTCGTCCCATCGTGGTGTACACGGGTCGGCAGCATCTCGGATGCTCCGAGCTTCTTCTTTTCTCTTCCTCCTCCGATGATCTAGGATCGTTATTTGACGGCAAGGCCGTTGGCTCTGATACCATGTTAGAATTCATAGAATTTGAGAAGGGCAAAAATACCTTCTAATTATTATACAAAATTATCCCTATTTATAGATCTATACAAGATGTCTTAATAAAGAAATAAATAACTTCTAATTGATACATAATTGCCTCAATATAATCCTTCCTAATTCAGCTACCCAAATATAGAAGAATATTGGCGTGATCCAGGTGAGCCTCCCACGGATTCTCATCCTAACCGTGGGATCAAATGCCAAGGGATGACTGAGATTTTGACATTATGTATATATGAGAGAGAAACTTCTCTCAGAACTCCAAATATTTTGTAAATCTTCTTTTTTTTTAGTAAAAGAAAAACAATGAGAGAAAAAGCCTCCTCAAAAACTTCAAAATAATAAAAGAACTCTTTTTAAACGTCATATCATAATTTCTTTTAAATTTAATTTTTTAAATGATCCCATTAGTGAATGACTCTTCATCTTAAACCTCAAAAACTAACAATCAATCACTTTTCAACAATCTTCCACATTCTCCCATTAGTTTCCAATCAAAATATGGTGAAACTAATATATATTTTCATATTATTTTAAAAGAGTCTCATAAAAATTTTAAATGATTAGTATTATAGTTTTATTATTTTTTCATATATTTACATTTTATATAAAAATATGGCATAAATTATCTTTTTTTTTTATGATGTAAGCTTCATAGTAGCTTTTAAAAAAATTGTTTCGTAATTTGTTAAGAATAAAAAGAAACAAACATATGAAAAAAAAAAATGTAAACAAATTTTTTTCTGATTTTTATAATATGAATTCCAAGTAAAGGAGGTGGATGTCAAGATCAATAATAAGGATGGCTATAATGCCCAATTGAATTGTTACATAACGTGATGACCCCAAAGATATATTTCATCTTGCTTGGAGATACATCTTAATGGTCCACGCAATACAAGATATCTTCTTTGTGTTCATCTAAGCCTGTTGATATCATCTTCCAGAATTTATGATGCTCATCTACACCTAAACAAGCTTACTTATGGATTTGTCCAAACATAGTTCATTAATAAACAAGAAAAGCATCATTCAACTTATGTTCTATGCAAAAAGAATTTGGTATTCGTATTCTTATTTATTTCAAGCAAAAGTCCTATGCTCTAAGCTTAAACATAACCAACCATGTTCAGGTTAGCTAATCTCAGCCTTTACGCAAAGCCTTAAGCACAAGTCATAAGGTAGCAACTCAAGTAAAACTATGGAAGCCTGGATAAGAAACAGCCTTGGAAACCCATTTCAAGCAAAATCACATAAGATACTCGCTTAGGCAAAACTAGGGAAGCCTGGGAACTAATACTGAACTTGAGCTTATATCACAAGCACGTCCTAGGACACCCATTTGACTTAAATACTTTGGGTAGAAAAGCTTTTTCCGAGTAGTTATAGTAGCAATCAAAATGTGTCCTTAGGAACCTAAAAAATATTATGCGACTAAATATAAGCCTCGCCTCAAAGATATAAAGAAAGGCAAAGGCCATCGAAATGTAACTTAGAAGCTTTCACCATATTTTTCAAACTAAAACGACATAAATGGTACTTAGTTCCTTAACGTCTCTGATAAATTTCCCCCAAAAAAACACCTCTTATAAAGATAAAGTCATACTGCCCATTAACGCAATATGAAGTTGCCTAAACAAATACTAGGTTGGGCAAAAATAATAATTCGACTGTTAATAATGAGTGGAGGTTCTATAAATATGACTCACATGAGATCCAACTCTAGCGTTCTGGAAGGCTTTAAGAACACGAGTAGCATTGTGCGCCACCAAATTATCAACTTCCCTAAAATCCGAATACAAAGAATCCACTGCTTTTACAACCTAATCACAAAAACAGTGGAATTTAGGCATTTAACGCTCGGAAGTGGCCAAAATGAAAATTTGACAGCATTTTAAGCTTTAGTGAGTGAAAATTTTTTCAGGAAAACTCGAATGGTGTGTCTTCGACAATCCGCAGAAGAAGATTAAAACATGAAAAATGTCATGATGCAAGGGTTTAGTTTTAACCTCGGGAACGAAAAGCTGTGCAGAATACCCAGTTGTTGGATGACATCCAGCTGACAAAACAGCAGCGCACGAGCTGCGCCGGAGAGGGTAAACTGAAGGATACCTGGTGGCGACGGAGCAGGATAAGGCCATGGCCTGCTACAGTGGCGGGACAGCGGGCTTGGAGACAGTGGTAGTGGGAAAATGTTCAAAATACTGAAAATACTCAAAATAGTATATTATCAAAAATCGGTCCATTTTTAATATGATAATTATTTCACCAAGAAATATTTAAAATTGAATATATTTTATATATCAATTATAATCCTTATTTATATTCTATGATCAAAAAATGATTCACATTTTTTCTTAAATCATAAAACAATCAATTATTATTGTATATCAAGATCATCTATATTTATTATTGTCAAGGGCAAATTGAGCATGATGAGCCTGGGGCAGAGCTCCACAAACTTTATTATTAACGTCTAATTAGATGTAAGATCACACAAGTCAAAATGGACTAACGGCGGAAGGCTTTCATGCGTTCACAAATCAGAACATGATCGTAACTCGGAAGACTTGAAAAGCCTTTCTTCTAAACGCCCACCCTTCAGGCTTCAGCAGTTCGCATTTACGACGACTTGCAACAAGCAGTCGGCAAGTACCTTAACATTTCTCTATCTCTCGACTTTTCCTATTTCTCTCTATTTGATCCATATATTTTTGAATTACTTACACATATTTTTGCCTATTTCGCAAAAAATTTCTGTTTTCAATAACCTGTAGGTACCAGGCACCAAATCAAACATATATGTGGTTTCTTCTTTGAACCGGATGTGAGTTTAAGGCTTCTAGCTCTTTTGTCCTTTCTGGTATCTTCTCCTCTGCTCAACGGGATTTCCTTATTGTTTATGTGGCTTACTTTCTATTTAATAGAGCATGCGAAGTTTATTTATTTATTTATTTATTTTATAAGATTGTTTGTTCTTACCTCTTTTTTATTATTCTTTATTTTTTTACCATCTTATTAAGTGAACGCTTGAGAATCTCCGAAAGGATGCTACTCATGGGGATCAAAATATAAAGGAGATGATCGCACAACCTTGCTTCATTTCGTAGGGTAAAACAATCATAGGCTTTTACACTCTACGCAAGTAGGCCGATGGGAGAATAGCTGGAATTATGCATACGATTATCCATGAAGAATGACGGCTTTCATCTACACATCTAGATGGATAATAATATTTATAACTCTATAATCATGAGATTTTCCACATGATACAACAACTCGAATGAGATTTATTTAATGTGAGTATCGGTTTTTCACAGAGGTAAGCCTCCGTGGTTAATTGCATCTTAGGCTTTGAACTAAAAATACTCTCGATTAATGACGTCATATTATTCTCTTCGTGGTTCAACCCATAAGGGAATATATAGCTCTCCTGATCCAAATGAAGATAAGCTCAATCAGGCTATTCAACATGCATGTATCACACAAGCACTCGCTCGATGCAAAGAGGAGAAATCAGAAGGAATCATCTCATACTAAGCATGCGTGAGAGAAAGATGAAAGCGGTACTATTAGTGTGACGTAGATGTGTGAGATTTAGAGCCTTTGAATAGTGGAGAACCTACCCAATTATAAGGCATGCAATGATATACTTATACTATCGGCCCTTAACCCTCAATCTACAAATGACATAATGTACACTCATTACTAACGCCCACAACCTGACAAATTTAAGACATCGTAAGGGGACTTATACCTTAAACCCCACTAGAGATCTAGGCAACCCCAACTTGGATTTATGACCCTGCTCGGAAAGGGGTACCAGCTAAACTCCACCTACCTTATTAAATCCATAAAGTTTGGTCTTATGCAAATGCAAGTGGTGTGAGGCGCAAAAGGGAAATATGTATCAAGCCCGACCATGAATTGTATTATGCTATGCAAAGTAAACTATCCCTCTATATTATAAAAGAAAATCTATATGCTTTGACTAAGGCTATGCATGTATGGGTAAGGCCAATTATAATTGGTCGATAGTCATTATGAAGTGAACAATGTTTGAAATTTTAATCATCATTTTAAAAAGTGGCCCACAAAAGGTCATGTATTAATTTTAAAAATTGGTTAATTTTAAATCTTATGTTCATTTTTATCATGTTTAAGGAAATGTTAACTTTATAGAAAATTTAACATCCTAAAGAGCCTAATAAGGACTCTGTCCAAGTCAACCCAAGCAAAGCAAAGTAAGAAACATATGAAAAACATGCAGTTCTAATTTGCAATCAAAGTAAAGACATTAATCATCAAATAATAAATAATAGTTAATGACCATGAATGCAGCTAAGTTATGCAATGCAACCCAGGAAAGTGAAAGTGATGTAGCTGAGATCTATCATATATGCAACTCAACCTAGATCTATACATCACTAAATGGTGTGTGGGATCTTAATCGGTCTTCACACATTTGGCCTCCTGCATTCTAAAATACCCACACACCTGTAAAGCCTTTCCTAACTAAAATTACATTTGAAAAATAAAAATTACATTTTTATCCTGCAAAAAATATATGTTTGCACAATTATAATAAAAATCACACACATCAAACATTTAGATCATAGTCCTTAAGACCATATTACCAATGGCTTAGCATTCCTTGTAGTACCTGTTGGCAAGCATATTTATATTAATTATTTGTGCATTTTCATTTTCCCTTTAGGAACATAGCCATCTACATAATATATTTCTATAAAAATCTAATCACTTAAGGGCAAGTGCCCACTCATCAATCACATAGAAAATAATAATAATAATAATTCAAGCCAAAAATAATCACCACATCATCACATACGCAAAATACGAAAGAAAATATTATCCTAGCGACACCCTACCCTAGAATGCCTATGAAATGGGCATATCTAGCACTTGTGTGTGCATAAATTAGTGTACCTAACTACCAAATTTAAGTGGAAGGTTAAAGTTGCAAGATTAATTTCTTATTATTTAATTTATTAGTACTCAAATTTTTCTTTAAATGATTAATGCTTTATGGTGAAATAAGTATTATTTAATTTTATGGTTATAGTTTTAATTATTAGGCTATATATAACCTAAAGATATGGGCCCTAACCTATGCTAGAGTTATAAAGAATTGAGAACCCTCAATCATGCACCTAACTAAGGTAGGAAGAGTTATGAGGTGACAAGGGTCGATTAATCCTTCTTTGGTAATCTAATACTCGAGATAAGGCTAATAGGTGACACAATAAGTAGATCTATCATCCACCATAAAAATATATATATATATATATTTAGGCTTCCTATGTCTAAGGTAGGTTTATTTTTAGAGGCTGATATAAGAATAGATAACTCACTATATATATATAATAATGTGTGGTGTGTGTGTGTGTGTGTGTGTGTGTGTGTGTGTGTGAAGGTTAAGAAGTTAGTTTAGGTTCTTAGGGTGGTTTAAATTTATAATAGAGACCATTTATATAGATATTTAGACCTTATGAGGTATGTGACATTATCACAATGGGCACGATGATGAAACCTTCTACAAATAATAGTACTTTGTATGAAGATCTAGCACACAATGGGACGATGATGAAACCTTCACAATAGGCACGATGATTAAACCCTTAAAAAGAGAGAGTGCATCATTTATAAGAGACATCAAGATTTTTATGTGGAACCCTCTCTGAAAATGGCGGAAAAAACCACGGGGTCTAGCAGTTCGAATGAATCCACTATTATTTTCAGTCGATTACAAATGACGCCCTTCTTTAGGGGTCTAGCAGTTCGAATGACTCCACTAGCCAGTCGAATCAATATAATTTTTTAAAAAATATCACTCATAAAGCCACAAGAAAACAACCCAGCGACTCTGATCATGTATGACACAATGTACCTCTCAAACAATGTAAAAAAGACTAAATGTGGAATAAGAAATATATACGATTAGATTTGGGAAAAGCAAGGCCTTGGCTTAATGTACATCATATAAAGTACATTACACGTTGGGAATACAAAGAATCAATTTTAATATGTTCATTTGGTTGGAAGGGCCATAGTCGGTGGGCGACGGAGGTCGGAAACACCGTTTTATGGTAACAGATGTTAGAAGGACCGTAGTTAGCGGGCGATATATGTCATAAAGACCATTTTCTTGCGATGAAGGTTGAAAGGACTGTAGTCGGCGGACAATAGTGGTCATAAAAACTATTTTTGGAGGGAGACAAAGGTCCGACATCAATTGGAGGCCGTGCAAAAGTCCGGTGTTAGTTGGTGGCCATGCAAAAAAACCAGCATCAGTTGGCGGTAGAGCAGAAGTCCGACTTTAGTTGGTAGCCGGGTAGAAGTTCGGCGATGAGAGGAAGTCTCACATCGGGTAGAAATCCGATAAATGTTGACGACGGGCAGAAGTCCGGCGACGAGCAAAAGTTTGGCGTCAAGAAAAAGTCCGACAATGGGTGGAGGTCCAGCGTTGAATAGAAATCCGTCGACAGGCGGAAGTCCGACATCTAGTGGAAGTTCGACGACGGGCGAAAGTTTGGCATTTGGTAGAAGTCTGATGAAAGTCCGGCGACGGGCGGAAGTCCAGTATTGGATAGAAATCTGGCAGTGGGCAGAACTCCGACGTCAGTAGGCTACTGGGTGGATGAGAGCATTCTTCCTTATCTTCTTGCTTGGGCCTACTTCCCCCCTTCGGGGTCCATTTCTATGAGAAATGAGGCGTCTATTTTATAGTCCAGTATTGGATAGAAATCTGGCATTGGGCAGAACTCCGACGTCAGTAGGCTACCGGGTGGAAGAGAGCATTCTTCCTTATCTTCTTGCTTGGGGCTACTTCCCCCCTTCGGGGTCCATTTCTATGAGAAATGAGGCGTCTATTTTATAGTTTTATGAGAGTGGTATAACCCATAAATAAGAGGAATATCATGGGTAAATTGGGAGTAGTTTGAATGGACGACTAATATTGAATGCCTTGATCGTTGACCGTTTATTAGGCATTTGAATTTCTTAATGATATGATAATTCAACGATCTTAGACTCGTTGGATTTGTCTCGTCGAGCCGCTCGATTCGACTATAAGCATTTCACTTTTAGAGTCCGTTTGGTAATCCATATTATGGTTTGAACTTTTCAAATGTGCTTCGGGCCTTTGATTTGGACCAATTTGGGCTCGGATTGAGTCGAATTTGGTGTCGTTATATTCGTATTTTCGAAACGTTCAATTCGACCATAAGTTTGTTGAATTCAGAGATTAGATGATATCTGATTTAATTTTTGAAATTTTCAACTTGAATTTGTCTTGAGATTCGTGCCCAATCAATATAATTTTTTTAAAAAACATCACTCATAAAGCCACAAGAAAGCAACCCAGCGACTCTTGATCATGTATGACACAATGTACCTCTCAAACAATAGTAAAAAAGACTAAATGTGGAATAAGAATATATACGATTAGATTGGAAAAGCAAATAGATAAAAATTTAACCAATGAGCAACTTAATATTTGAATCTACCAAACTAAGGTGAGACTGATATGGTGGAACTAGAATTTAAAATGAGAAGAAGCCCAAACAGTTTATCCAAAAGCTTGGCGTTAGAACTTGCATAATGAAAGACAAATTAAATGTAAAACATTCATATTCATGCAACCGGACAAAAGCATTAAATGCTTAATTTTTTAGCTAAGTAATTAACCCATGCGTCCTCCTTCTGCGCGCACCCAGAGATCAGTCGAGGTTTCCGGCAAGCTCACCGGCCTTCAGACCCAGCCCCTTTGGGCCGAGCCACACCCGCGTCGCCGCACGAGCCCTCTCCTCCCTCCTCATCCTTTGCAACGCTACTCCCTATTCCCCTCTCCTTCGCAAGCAGAAAGCAAAGGCTGCCGGCGAGCTCGTTGCTCGCCTATGCCTGTTGCCTCTGAGACCCGCCTGAGCGCCTCCGCACGAACTCTCTTCTTCTTCCTCCTTTGCAAGTGGCAACATCGCTTGCACCCGTGACCATATTTATTATTAGAGGCACTCCATAAAACTAATTTAAATGAAACCATCTTCTTAAGCTTTGAATAGATCATTTTTTTTTAAACTATTAATAAGCTTCATGGCTTCGATCTTAGCAAGTTGAACTAAAATATGATGGTCCATTTCAAATAACCCATAAAATTTATAACCAATATCTTATTTGAATTAACATATAATAGTATAGTATATAACATTGCGAAATTAGAAAATATCACATCATTTTAGATATTTTGGGTCTATTATTCAGAGTGATGGTGGAATGGATGGGAATATTATTAATAGAATTCAAGCTTGATGGTTGAAGCAAAGGAATGCAATGGGCTTGTTGTGTGATAGAAAAGTCTCCATCAAATTTAAGGGAAAATGTTATAAGATAGTGGTTAGACCTGCAATGTTTTATGGTACATAATATTGGTCATTAAAAGAGAAGCAAAATATTAAGTTAAGTGTTACAAAGATGAGGATGCTCTTGTGAATGAGTGACTTTACTCTTACAGTCATAATACGAAATGAGCACATAAGCGAAAAGGTTGGAGTAGCTCCAACGGAAGATAAGATTAGAGAGAGTCATTTTAGATGGTTTGGTCACATAAAACAACAGCCTTTCGATGACATGGTTAGGAAATTAGATGTATAAGATTTGACTTATGTTAAGAAAGGTTGAGGTAGAACTTAAAAGACTTGGTTAGAAAAATATTATAAATAATCTTTTTTTATTAGATTTAATTGAAAATTTAACTTTTTAACAAGACAATTGAGAACAAAGATTCATGTAGCCGAGCTTAGATAGTGGGATAAATGTTTGATGATAATATTGTTGTTGATTATTAAATGCTAATATATTTGATCTACACTGAATATTAAAAGCAATACCATTTTCCAAATGGTTAATGATTATATATTTTTAATATGCTCCATGTCATACAATATATCCAATGAACTATTTCATCATGAATACGAGTAAACAATAATAACATAAAAATGAATGAATATAAGTCGCTTCTCAATTTTACTAAATGCCTTACTTTTCCATGCATCAAATAAGATGTAAATATACATATAAATAATGTTAGAATAAGAGGCAATTAAGGCATGCATGAACTATGAAGTTCTAATACGCACACAAATAAAGAACATTGTAAGTGACACATAAGTTTTACATGAAAAATCTGGTACATGCAAAAAAAAAAAAAATCAAAGGTTTCGATTCGTTTGAAATGATTCATTATGTAAGGAAGATTATAGAACTTTGCTTTCCATCTCAATTGGAGAAAATATGATTATAATGTTAAGAATATTAATATGGTCTCTTATATATGTAGAAGCGATTACTAGAGAAATCATAAAGAGTGATGATTTTCAGAATTAAATGGTGCTCGTTTGATATAAACAAGTACATGTAATTTAGGCTTTGTATGGGGTGGCTTTAGCTTTTAAAAACTCCATTTTCGGCCACAATTTAGGTTTCGTTTGGAACAGCTTATTTGCTGCTTTCTAAAAAGATTTTCTAGTACACAAATTTTAAAAAACTAGTTTCCAAGCACACACTTAACTGCATATTTTTCTATATGCAAAAGCAGTGGAAAAGCTAATTCAAACAAAATCTCAGGATCTTTTTGAGATAGCTTTCTTATTATTTTCTCACAACTTTTCAAATATTTCTATGATTAAAGTTGTTTTCTACAACCAGAGTATATACATTGTTTTTCCCATCGTAACTTCATAATCAACTTTATAAAATGTTACAACCGTCTTGAAAAGAGTCTTAGGGTTCGTTTGGGACGGCTTTTTTATTGCTTTCTAAAATGGAGTTTTAGTACAATTTTTTTTATTTTTGTACTAAAACTCCGTTTTAGAAAGCAATAAAAAAGCCGTTCCAAACGAAGCCTTAGTTTATCCCCATAAGCTTCTCATCCAAATTGTGATTAAAAATGGTATGCAAGTTAATAAAGAAACTACATTATCCTAGGCGATAATTAGCCACACATGCTTTAAAGAAAAATAATATTTGGGGAAAATTATCATAAAAATAGATTTTTTTCTTAATTAAGGTTGTGTTTGGGACAACTTTGATATTTCTTTCAAAAGCAAATTTTTAGCATAAATTTTTTTAAATTTGATTTTTTTTAATTGAAAAGCTGCTTTTGAAAGCTGTAAAAATGCCATCCGAAATGAATCTTAAGACTATATTTGAAATAATTTTTTTGCTATTTTATAAAGCTAATTTGTAGAGCAACTTTTTAGAATAAAAATTTATTGAAAAAAAGGCCAAATGTTATCTTAAAGGAAGGCTGAATTTCAAATTACTATCCATGTAACACAAATTTGACTCAACTCCCAAAACAATTCAATTTTGGAATAATAATTTATTTCATTGCAAATGGTAACTTTTCCATATACGGCTCAGTTAAAAAAAAAAAAAAAAAAAAGCCGAATTTCGGATATTGTGGCTAAGATTTAGGAAGGTGATAAGGGCGAAACCTTGTCAGAAAAGCGTAGCTCGATATATTCAAAGAACTAATATTAATTATTTAAAAAATATAGCTAATCAGTTAAAATCAGCGGTATATATTAAAACTTATCTTTCCTGATCCCCACTTTTTTGAATTGATCCCATTTTTTAAACACAATTAGCTCTTATAATATTAAGAATCTACTCAATTATTTAGAGCTTACAATTATTTTTTATTTAATTATTAAAAAGATAAACAACTTCAACACCAAGTCTTTTATATCTTATGTGGGGTCTGTTGCATGAATCATTTTTTTTATGTTACGTCATTTTAAGAATCATGTTCTTATTTAAATTTAATAAATATATATATTTTAATATTTTATAGCTAAATTTTTTTAGATAAAAATCTATTTTTTTTACATAGACAAAATATAATATATATCTACTCTCCTAATCAGATCAAAAGGCCAATATTTTATATGTCAAAAATATCTAAAGTGATTCTCTCTAATCTTGTCAGCCATTGGAACTATTTCAACATTTTCAAGTCCATTTGCATTATGTCTCTAAGAGTGAAGCCACTCATCAACTTGAGTATTTTCATTTGTGCAGCACTTAACTTAAATATTTATATAATATTAAATTTATGATTTTTTTTTTCATTCTTGTTAAATATTGAATAAATTGATTCAAGTAGTGGAGATCACGGGCGAAATTGTAATTTTTTTATTAGAAGAGCACAAGTTGATGATTTCTAACATACTTTTAAATTTTTATCGGTTATTTATTTCTATTTTTATATATAGAAATTATAAATTAATATTTAGAATCTGATTAATAATTTAAATAAAAAGTAAAAGCTTATGATAAATTAGTTTGCAGTCTGCTGGATGGGAGGCTATCTAACAAAGCAAGAGGTGCTGGGTTTGATCCCCAGTAATAATTATTAATTCAATAATATTTTTTTTTTGGGACATTTAGGTCATTTAAGGCAAACTCACACACACAACGCATACACAGAGACTCGAACCTTAGACCTCTTAGTTTGAAGCCTTAGCTCTCAACTAATAGGCCAAGGAGAGTTGTGTATTAATTCAGTAATATCAAAATTTGTAAGATTAATTAAATAATTTTAAATCGATAAATATCTCCATGAATATCAACATTGGAGAATTCAATAAAATTTAATTTTTTTTTTAAATTTAAATTAAACATGTATAATATTTTAATGTTTTTCAAGACATTATTTATTAGGCTTAAAAGTTATCTTTAAAAATTAATATTTAAAAAGTTATCTTAAATATTTATTTAGATGAAATATAGTGAAATATAGAGAAAGTTAGGCAAAGAATCTTGCTCTACTTTACCCGGCATATTTCTGTGTGTCATGTCATGGACGGCAACTGTCTGCAGCGCCATTTTCGTCGTGGCTTCGCCCATCCCTTTCTCTTCCTCACTGGTTATGGGGAAACGAGAAGCCCTATGGGATTCTGCGCCGTGTCTCCACTCGTGGATCTCCAAGCGCCGAGACGGCTCCGGCGAAAGAGGTCAAAGGACGGATAGAGTTATCTCGATAAAACATAGGCAGGAAGCTATCTTTTTTCGCCCTTTCACCCATCATATATAGTCTAAGAAAGGTGGCGCCTCTTACGATCTTTGAAAACTCGGATGTCTCTTTCGTCGATACGCTTTTACTGGTTTATAAGGGCCTGATGTCTTTTCAGAAGCTTCTGAAGTAGATCAAAAGGAGTTTATTTCTGTGTCTTTTGATTTGTTTAAGAGCCTAGGTATCTTGGAAGACTTACTTTGATGGCTAGGGATTCAGCAAGAAGCATTGTTCTGTTTACTGATGAGGAACTTAATGGAATAACTGGGGTTAAGAAGGGAGAGGATTTTGTTGAGGTCACTTGTGGGTGCACTAGCCCGCGGTACGGCGATGCTGTTGGGAGGCTTAGGGTTTTTGCTTCAGGCAAGCTTGAGGTTGCCTGTGAATGCTGTCCAGGTTGCCGTGAAGGTTAGTTCGATTTGGCCATTTTTCTTGGATTTTCGTAGTATGATTTCATGCTATCTTCGAGCATTAGTGGATTGAGCTATCATTTTATTGAAAATTTGATGCTTTTAGTGGGGATGTTTTTGTGTTCTTCATCATTGAATTTCGTCTCTATACATTTATTATGCTTTGTCTTTACATCAGACACTTTTGTTTACTTCGTACAAGAGAGTCACGAAGTTTGAGTTTGCTTTTGTTAGATATGTACTGTACTCTATATATTCACATATCATGCAGTGTTATCTGTAGAACAGTGGGAGTAATTTACTGTTGTTGTCATGATCAAATTAAGGAACAGTATATTGTTGTAAACTAATGAACCTTGCTTTAAGTCTTTCTTCTGTATCCATGATTTCATGTTGTGCTTGTATAGTTAATGGAGTTTTCGTTGTAATTATTTTGGTTGTGTTGTACGTGAAAGGCTTGTTAGTGGGACAAGGTTTGTATTTTTACTGAGGCTTTGTTTGAGACAGTTTTCTTAGAGCTTTAAGAAGTAGCTTCTAGTAATAATAATAAAAAAAATAACTTCTAGTAAAAAAATTAAATTTTTTTAGAAAATCATCAAGAAAGTCATCTAAAATGAAGCCTAAGACTTCGTTTGGGACGGTTTTTTTTATGCTTCTTAAAGCAGCTTTCTAGTACAAATTTTTAATCTTGTACTAGAAAGTTGCTTTAAGAAGCAGAAAGAAAGCCGTCCCAAACTAAGCCTAAGTTTGGTTTCTAATGTGATTGATTTATAATTTTATATACAAGAACTAAGAAGGTCTGATGTTAGATTTTGTCGGAATAATGTTGTGTGTTCTTTATTTATATTTTTAAAATGCATATTTTGTGTTTTTTTTTTGATATTGCACGGTGCTTCTTAGCATTGGGGTTGTGTACTAACGATTGGTGCCCCCACTGCAGAGTGTGACAACGACATAGCCTTGCTGTGCCAAAACTGGCGTTTTTGTTTATTATTGGATTATCTTTCTTTTGAAGTGGGGGTCGTACTCATCAACAATCAATTTATTCTGATGTACTTGAATGGAGCCTATGGCCATTTGCAGATTTCACTGTAGGACTTGGCCCTTTGTGAGGTTTAATCGTGCTTTTCCTCATACCAAATTATTGCATGTGATGTGTAGGTTATGTATGGTAAAAAGTGTCCTTTAGTGCATGAATCTGCTATGCATAGAAGTATGCAAGTAACTCTTTTCATTAAATATGAAATTACAGATTGCATGGGTGCATTCTGGCTTAATACAATTCGTTAATTTTGAGTTATTTTGTTTGAGGGGAAAAAAGAAGCTATTTTTGGCCCAAAAAAATTAATCAAAGGTATTGTATAAATTAAATTTTTTGATGAATAAACTGTTTCCTCGTTTGTTTAAGAAGATTTTTGTCAAATTCTCGACTCGAGAAGCTTATGCTAGAGCCTTAGTTTATAAGCATTTTGACCAAATATTAAATTTTTTAATGCAATCTGAAATTCTGAAGCAATCATTAATTAGATCTCCATTTTTTTTAACGTCTTGTATATATCCATGGAAAGTCCTTTTTCCACAATATTTTAATTATCTATATTTGTTACTTTCAAGAGTATCGTAGTGTTAACTTACCTTCTGTGATATCGTGAAATTTATTGGTGTGAGGATGATAAATATGATTCAAGTTCTGGAAAGAGTTTGCAACTTTTTTTTTACCTGAGTGTTCAGGCTTTAGGTTACACGAGGAAAGGATGTGCAATCTTCTACTTGAATGCTTAAGTTTTTGTTAAGTAGATGTTTTATAGCTCTCTTAAGTGAGCTTCAAATTGGAATTATTCCGATCCTTTCTTTCTTTTTTTTGTAAAACCTCTTATTTTATGATAATCCATCATTTTTAACAGAAATGGGTGCTGTTTTATACATTTTATGTATGTAATTCTAAAACCTAGAGGGTATCGTCAATGAGAAGCGTGTAGTGAGAAGGTCCTTAAGAGATGGATGACTACCATTCATGTTTATAATTTTATTATGCAATGACCATTTCATTCTTGTAGTCGTTTAATTTATTCTCTGCTTCATTGCTTTTTTGGAAACTAGTCTTTGCTAAATATTCTAAGCTAGAAATTGGCATCCAAAATATGTTGAAACAGCTTTCTATACATGCTTACTTTTAGTCCTTTGGCTGATGGTTCCATCTTTATAAGATTATACTATGCAAAATAAAATGTTAATTAATCCATTATCCTGGTTGATGTATCCTTTCGTTGCTTATCCCTTTACAAATTATTGTCATATTGATCAGATAAGTTGACACCGTCTGCTTTCGAGAAGCACGCGGGTCGGGAAAACCCAAGGAGGTGGAAGTACTATGTGTGGGTCATTGTTAAAGGAAAAAAGATTCCATTGCTGAAAACAGCATTGCTGAAGTACCATGAAAAAGTATATGGTGGAAGCTCTTATAGAGGTAACAAAGGGAAACCATGCCACCGGGATGAGTTTGTTCGCTGTAGCATATGCAACAAGGAGAGAAGATTTCGTCGGCAAACCAAAGTGGACTGCAGAACTTACCATGATGCTGTGCTCGATGCCAACTGGAAATGCTCTGATCTGCCTTCTGATGAGTGAGTTTTCTACTAAAATCTTCCTCATCAGACTTTAAACACATTTTGCATTGCATTCTTAACTGAAAGGAACAGTATATGGTAGACTTTGCAGAAGGAAAATCCTATGATAAAGTTTGAGATCAGTTTTTTCACTTGCCTACTGAATACTAAGTTTATTGCGGGGCTAATATCTTTGGTGATCTTAACTTTGACTTCTTCACATTATTATATATTCTTTCAGTCCCAGAGAACATTAACATCTAACTTGTGAGGGATTATTCACATAATTTATCACTTTTGCTGATCCGTGATGATCCATTCAGCTGGCCTGACGGTTGGTTGCTGGCGGATTTTGTCCATTTGTGTGCCCATTTTGATTCATTCCTCCCATTTTTGGTAGAATTTAATTTGAATATAATATTCTTATCCATTTCCAGATTTTGGACTAAACAGTTAGTGAATCCTTGTATTTTGGAGGTAGGTAGATATAATCTTGGAAAGTTAGCTTTGGAATTTTTAACATATATTCTTTCTTTAGTTATGGAAAGTTAGTTTAGAGTTTTTCAATTTTAAGGAGATATTTTTAAAGACAGCTTAGTTCCTGTAACAAGGATAAACAGAAGAGAATAGCAGTAGAAAGGTGTATTGTATTCAGCAGTATTCAGCAGCATTCAGCAGCTCTACCTCTCTGTTACAGCATACAAGTATATATAAGAGATAAAGTAAAAGCAGGTAATATGATAGGAATGGTGGAGATTAAGGAGCAGCATCCTGCAGTTAGAAATGCTGTAGCCGTGAGTTGGTTATACCGCAGATAGGTAGTGGAGCAGGGAAATGATTTCAATATAAGGTATATCCACTAACACCGCCCCTCAAGTTGAGAATTCATCTTGAATTGTTAACTTGCTACGGAGTTGAAGAAACCGTGTGATTGGTAAAGGTTTGGTGAATGTATCAGCTGGTTGATCAACGGAGGCGATGTGATGAACTATATATAATATGTTGATCTTTGATGCAATCCCGTATAAAGTGATAGTTGACCTTGATATGCTTTGTAAGGGCGTGAAAGACAGGATTGTGAGCTAAGGCAACAGCTGAGGTATTATCACAATAGACTTGAGTAGGAGCAGTGGTAGGAATCTAAAATTCATCGAGTCTTCTTAATCACATAAGATCACTAGCAACGGTAGCCAAAGCATGATATTCTGCCTCTGTGGAAGATCTGGCTATAGTAGGTTGTTTCTTGACTGACCACGATAAGAGATTGGTGCCAAGGAATGTATAAAACTCAGTAATTGATCATCTATTAAATGTGTTCTCAGCCCAATCAGAATCTGCATAGGCGTGGAACTCAAAAGATGATTGTATGATAGGAAAGTAATAATTGATGGTACCCTGAAGGTATCACACCCCTCTTTTGAGCAATTGAAAGTGTAGTTGAGACGGTTTGTGCATATTTTGGCACAAGTAATTCATTGAGAATGCAATATAAAGTCTATAGATTTTAATGTACTGCAATGAGCCAACCATTTGCCGATAAAATTTAGGTTGCTGAAAGAGTTCGAATGTCTTAGCGTGCGCAGGAAATTTGGATGGTAGGGGGCTCTAAATCGGCTTGCAATTAAGCATTCCTGATTTGTTTAGAACGTCTGTTATGTATCAAGATTGGCTTAGAGCGAGGTTGGTGTTATCTGGACACCAAGGAACAACGATGGTTTGCCCAAGTTTTTCATATTAAATTTGGAATGTAGGTTTTAAAGAGGTTGTCAAGTTCAGTTTGGTTGTTTCCTGTGAGGAGAACATCATCAACATAGATAATAAATACAAAGAGACATTGCCTTTGTGGAAGAATAAGAAGGAAGGGTCTGCCTTGCTTGTGATGAAGCCATATTGGTGGAGGCGAGTTGAGAATGTAGTGAACCACTGACGAGATGATTGTTTAAGACCGTAAATAGATTTATGTAGTCGGCAGACATGAGATGGGTATTGAGGGTCTTGAAACCCAGGTGGCTGTTTCATTTACACAACTTCGTTAAGGTGATCATGCAAGAAGACATTAGATACATTTAACTGATAAAGAAGCCATTGAGATGTGGTGGCCACGATAAATAGATGTCGAATAGTAGGAAATTTGGCAATCAGACTAAACATATCAGTGTGATCAATACCATATTCCTGTTTGAAACATTTTGCAACAAGGCGAGATTTGTGGCGAGCTATAGAGCCATATGAGTGAAATTTAGTTTTATAAAGCCATTTACAACCCCAAATATTTTGGTCATTGCTACGAGGAACTAAAGAACAAGTGCATTGCCTTTGCAATGCCTCAAATTAGGTGGACATGGTAGCTCGCCAAGCTGGGTGTTGATTAGCTTGAGAGAAAGAGGTTGGTGACAGGTAGGGGTGTAAGTGAGCTGAGCCGGTTCGAGGAGCCGGCTCGAACTCGACTCGTTAACGAGCTCGCAAGCCGAGCTTATCGAGCTTCGAGCTTCGAGCTCGAGCGTACAATCGAGCTCGTATGATAAACGAGCTCGAGTTCGAGCTCAACCCGACTCGACTCGAAAGCTTATCAAGCTACTATATATATATATATATATTATTTATAATTTTTGACTGCTTATTTTTTTATAATATCGAGCTCGAGTTTTTCAAATGAGCTCGAGCTTTCGAGTCGAGCTCAAGCTTGATATTTTCTAAACAAGTCGATCTCAAGCCCACTAATCGAGCTCGAGCTCGAGCACGAGCTCGATTAAGGAATAAACGAGCCAAGCTTGATAAGGCAAATACTCGACTCGACTCGGTTACACCCCTAATGACAAGGGGAACAAGCTGATGATGAATATCAAAGTTTTCTTGGGTTTAAGGTTTCCAGTTTGAAGTCTAGTAAGCATAGGATGATGAGGAGGTGGATGAAATGGGTGGTTAGGGATATTAGTGGCATTATATGTAGTGGTAGTATTTTGGAGCGGAGACAGAAGAGGGGAAGAAGTAGCCTAAACAAGATGTGGAGGTGAGTTGGAACTGGAGGAAGAATTGTTAGATGAGAAATTGGGTTGGGTACTAGGAGCAGCAACTGTGGCGTAAACTAATGTAAGAGGGGCGGGGATTGTTGTGGAGTGGGAGGGGGTTGGAGGGACGGTTTGGTGTTTAAATGGGAAAAATGGATTTGACAAAGTGAACATGTATGGATATGTACACATGATTGCTAATTGGATCAAGGCATTTATGGCCTTTAGAAGAAGTTGTATAACCCATAAAAACACATGGAGTAGAACCGGGCTCAAATTTATGATGATGGAGGGGAGGTAGCCATGGGTAGCATAAGCAGCCAAATACACAAAGGTTTTCATAATTGGGTGTTTGGTGGTATAGCCGCTGATATGGGGAGATATTGTAGATGGTAAACAATTTATAAGGTAATCTGCTGTAAGTAGTGTGTCGGACCAAAGGTAATGTAAGATATGTGCCACAAATAGAAGTGAGCAGATGATGGTGTATCCTTTCGGCAACACTGTTTTGTTGAGGCGTATAAGGGCATGTAAGGCGATGGAAGATGCCATAATCATTCAAATATTTGTGAAAATTATGATTAACAAATTCACTACCTCTGTCAGATTGAATAATTTTAATGGGTGTTTGAAATTGTTTTTCCACTGATTGCTGCTTGATTGTCACATTTCAACTTTATCGTGCCTTCAATCTTTATTCCCAGTTCAATCAATACTTTTCTGATATAAATACCTTCACAAATAATAACTAGTAATGCTCTCAGTTCAGGTTCTGCACTGCTTTTGAAAACAACAAATTGTTTCTTGTTCCTCCATGTCACTATATTCCCCCACACAAATGAACAATATCCTGTGGTCGATCAATTGTTAATCTGGCTTCCTGCCCAATTGCATCAAAATAAAGGATTAATTTTCTATCTTCAATTTTCTTGGATAATAACCCCTTTCCAGGAGTGTTCTTAAGATATCTTAAGATTTGATGTACTACCTCCTTGTGCTCCTTCATAGGATTACTCATATATTGGTTTACAATACTCACAACAAACCCAATATTTGGACGGGTGTGGGAGAGGAATATAAGCTTTCCTACAAGACGTTGATATCTTCCTTTATCTACTAGAACTCCCTCATTTTCTCGCCCAATTTTCATCTTAGGATCCATAGGTATATTAGTTGATTTGCATTCCAGCATGTCGGTCTCCTTCAGTAGGTCTATGATATACTTGCATAGGGAAATAAATATACATTTGCTTGATCGAATTACCTCCATACCAAGGAAGTATCTAAGTGATCCTAGATCTTTAACTTCAAACTTCTTGGACCAAGTCTGCTTGATCTTCATTATTTCCTCTATATCATTTCCAATTAGGATGATGTCATCCACATATACAATCAATATTGCTACCTTGTCTTTTTCTGGCTGCTTCACAAACATGGTATGATCTGCCTGGCATTGTTTAAAATCAGGGCCTTTTGCATACTTTGAGAATCTTCCAAATCATTCTCTTGGAGATTGCTTTAATCCATATAAGGATTTCAATAGTTTACACACTTTATCCCTTCCATAAGACTTCTGAATCCCCATTGGAATCTTCAAGTAAACTTCTTCTCAGGTTCCCATTCAAGAATGCATTCTTGATATCTAGTTGATGTATGGGTCAATTTAAATTTTCTATTAAGGAAAGAAGAATCCTGATGGTGTTGAGCTTTGCAATAGGTGCAAAAGTTTACTGATAGTCTATTCCATAAGACTGAGTGAATCCTCTTGCAACTAGTCTAGTTTTCAATCTCTCAACAATATCATCCACCTTATGCTTTATAGTGAACACCCATTTTCAAGTCACAACTTTCTTTCCTTGTGGGATTCGTAATCACCCATGTTTGATTTTTTTTCCAAGGCAATAATGTCTTCTTTAACAGTCTGTCTCCATCCTGGGTGATTCAAAGCTTCCTGAATATTGGTCAGAATCTGTACATCATCCAACTTGGAAAGGAAGACTTGTTAAGTGT